TCTGACTGGCTCAAAGGAAAGCTGTATGCTTTTGAGGAAAAACAAAGGGCTTTCTGAACATTTCTGTTCTGAGGATGGCAGTCACCCTCCACACTCTCCACACAATGGTAGACATGCACCTCTGGTGCAGCTGGGCTAATTACAGCCTGTAGCTGAATCCAGCAGAGCTGGAGCACAAAGCACAGGCTTATTAGTAAGAGCATCCCTTGTCTGCGATGGATTTTATCTTCGCCGCACGGCATGCCCAGGGCTGCAGACACTCCCACTAACATTATAGCCTGCCCTCCAGGCAGGGAAGAGGCAAGTGCTAGCTACAGATGGGACTGTGTCAGCCTGCTCCGGTGGGAACTTGTTTCTTGCATCTGCACGCTCACAGTCTGCAAAACTCCTGCAGCAGTTGCTTGGCACAGCTTGCACAGACACCACGCAGGTGCCTGCTGACACAAAACGATGGGCTCCAGGGCACGTGCCTGTTGGTGCAGGACTTACAGGTGCAGGCCTCGCTGCTCGGACAGGTGATGGTGGTGAAGGCCTTCCAGGAGCACAGAGGGTGCTAGGTGATGTTGGAGCATGTGGGTCACCCAGTTCCTCCTGGAACTGGGGTTCTGGGAAACTATCCCCGTGCTGGGTGGTTTCCTGCTTCTGATCACGTTGATTCTGTGATGTGAGTTTATTTGCTGCAAGAGCCGGGGAATAAGAAAGCTGCAGAAAGCAATCTGCTGAGTGAGAGAGCAAATCGAAAGCAGAAACTGTGTGTGTGTGTGTGGGGGGGGGGTCCTGCAGTCCGGGACAGCCAGAGGTGCAAGGGGTGACCTCTCTCTCTTTGCAGGACACAGACACTAAAATGTCAGAATGGGAAAAATGTTCCTGCATGGGGCCCTCACCCAGCAATGCACCTGAGCGTGGGGAGCGCAGCGCACAGGGAGGCAGCAGGGGCCAAAGGGGCTGACCCTGCACCAAGGCTCTGGGTCCTTCAACCCACATTTCTAGTAGCTGTTGCTGGGTTAAGCCAGCATCAGTAACATGGAGGAGAATCTAATTTTTCTTTATCTTCCTGCTGCACCTTTTTGAGGAAATTAAAAGGGTTTTGACACGTTAGTGAACTCTTATTGAATGGCTCTAATGAGCGATTTCTCAGTTCTGCCTTGCTCTCCCTCTGCTGAATCTTTTTAAATTAGCTGAAAATGAGAAGCCAGAGAGCTGAAGCAAGAGGGAGCAGAGAGGATCGTCTGGGCCTTCCTCTTGGGAAGAGCTCTGCTAATGAAGCTTTATAGAGAGGCTTTTTCAAAAAATGAGTCAAAACCACAAACATATGTGAGTGCTGAAGTTGAAGGGTATAAAAACACTTGTTTAGACACGATGTGACCTGCAGCAGGGGCAAGCAGCTGGGGTAAGTGACTCTCAGCACTCCTGGACCAGAGCGCGTGGCGGGAGCGCAGGGCAGGAGAGGGAGAGAAGTGGGGAGAACTCAAACGCATGGGAGTTTGGGCTGGTGCAAAATACCCGACGAGGTCAGGTCTCCCAGGCTCCTGCGTCAGCCATCGCCTCAGGCTCGCGTTTGTGCGGGAGCAAGGCACGAGGATGGACGTGGTGGTTTGGTGGGTTCACCCTGAAGCACAAATCTGTGCTCATGTTCATGGTTAGCCAAGCCCAAGGACCTCTGCTTATTTCTCAGATTATATGGAAAATCCCATTAACCGTGAAAAACAAGGCAAAACATAGTCACATTTGTTTTATAATGAGTTGCTTTCCTTTTCACTTTGACCAGAGTCTATCATCTCTGCATTCAGAAAGAGTGGGAACCTTCATTAAAACTGAATTATGATGGCATTTAGAAGGGAGGATAAAATTTATAGCCAAAGATGCTATTACAAAATACTTCCCGGATAGGTAATTGTGTAATTATTATGGGCAGATATGAAGGCAATGGCTCATTAACAGAAAATGACCATGAAATAACAATAAATAAAGCCAAATAAAAGCCATGGTAATTGCGCAGCCCATCCTGCCTGCGTGCCAGCCAGCGCGGGGCACACCAACCCCTGGTTCCTCAAGGAAGCAGGTTTGAGACTGGCCGCTGTCCTTGGTGTTGGGGGGAAGGAGTGCACGGAGGGACCTGGCGTTAGGTGGCTTTGAAATCCTCAGAGTCCCGAGGGTCACAACGTGCTCTTCCTCCAGTCCCTGCTCCCCACAGCAGCGCCTTCACACACAAAAGCAGATGTCACCCAGCCCCTGGTCCCAGTCTGGTGGCATCGCTGGTGAGTGCATCCTGGTTCAATTCCTTGAATCCTGCCCTTGTTTTATCCCTCTGTAGGGCTCAGGTACTGTGGGAACAGGGGAAAATAACTACTTTGGACAGTGAGGCAGGATTCTGGGCTCTTGGCTCTTTTGGCAGCAAGTGAAAGTTAGCAAAAAAAGTGTGTAAAATGTCATCGAGGCTCGGGGTAATTGGCTGGTGTAGACAGCAGCAACATCTTCCATCACAGCAATTACGCAGCGACACAGCAACGCCTCTGGTGAGCTGCCGGCTCCAACGCGCCGTTTGTTCGGTCATCCCTGACTCAGTGCGGCAAATTCCAGGGGTAAGAGGGATATAAATATTTGATACCTTCCCCTTCCCATTGCGGTAATTACTGACCAGCTGGCAACGATGGGAGACCTGCAATGGCTGAGGAGGGGAATTAGCTATTTGGCACGACTGCCCTTGTGCCGGTCAGGGGCAAGCGGGGCCCTGAGCCCCTGCCTTGCCGGCGGCCTCCAGCTCTGCAGCCTGGCGGCCTCCAGTGTCTCCTACTGTTGCAGGTTTTGAGACAACAGAGCAGCCCTGGGTACAAACTCCGGGAGCTGCCCCCAAATAATCGGAGCTGCGCCGAGTGAACGTAATTAGCAGGCTCGAAGGCAGGGATGTGATTCAGCGACGCCGAGCCGAGCCTGGAGGCAGGCAGTGCTGCGCTGTGCCAGGCGAGCGGGGAGGTCGCGCTCGTGCTGGTGTTTCCCAACAGGGAGGTGAAAATGTTGCTGCAAGGCAGAGGAATTTCCCCCTTGAGGCTGAAGAGAGATCCCATTTCCCTGAGCTTTCATTTCAGAAGATTAAGAGGCTGGTTTCCAAGCGCTTCTGAAAAGCAGGAGGCGTTTCCTATTGAGTGTGGGTATTTGATACCTCTCTTTGGGGACCCACAGGCATTTGCCGTGACACAGGGCTTCAGCCGTTCTCACTATTTTCCTTCTTCTGGAAATTGTAGCAGAAATGAACAGGGGTTAAACCAGCAGGAAACTGGCACTTCTTTCCCGGGCCTGCGTGCTTTAGTGAGTTAGAGTAAATGCGCTCTCTGGGATCTTCAGTGAGGATAGTTTGGCTATTGAATTGTGCAGGACCTCGCCAGCCGCGTAGCTGCTTCTCAGGAGCCATGTCTGGAAGAGCCAGGACAGGCACCAACATTGCACATCCTGCCTTCCTGCCACTAAAGCAACCTGCAGGCTTAGGAGGCTCGGAGGTCTTGTACTTAACTTGCTGCTGTTGTGTTTATAGGCTCAGTGCAGCAGTAAATTTGAGGCCATAAACTGCATCTCCATGCATTGCCGATTGGTTTTGCAGCCTGCTGCCTTTCATGTAACTTAGCGGCGAGCGTAAGGGTCAGTGTTTCCCTGGCTCTGTGTGTGATGGGCTCCCCAGCGAAAGCAGAGTTGGGCAGCGCTGCAAAAGGGGCTGAGCGCAGGCTTGTCCCGTGTAGGAGTACTGCCAGCAGGAGAGCGCCCAGAGCACCTGCCCCAGCAGTCTTGCACCTTGCTTTTGGCACCTTTTGTCAAGCTTCGCTGCCGATTGCTGCCGTAGGTGCTCTCAGGGCTCCTACTGCCGCAGCTGATGCTGCCGTGGGGATTTAGGGGAGGACTTATGCGTAGCCTTGAGTGGAGGGCAAAGGCAGAAACCAGGCAGCCGGCTGTGACAGTGTGGTGTGTGCCTCCCTGCACGTGTTTTGGGATGGCACATCATAGGAACACAGCTTCCGTGTGCTCCTAGCAGCCTGGCTCCTGGTTACTGTGTAAGTCAAAGGACATTCCCAGCAGCACATGGGATGTCTTAGTGTGCAGCTCTGTGCTCGCTCCTCCAGTGCTCATTAAGCAAGACCTGCAGGGTTCACTCGCTTTTAGGTCACGGGAATAAAGTCTATCCGGTTCTGTTTGGCTCATTTGTATTGTGGTTGTGTAGGCCATTAGCTAGCGAAAGTCATTGATTTGTGATGCTAACTAGATTCTAAGCCCAGATCCCAGAGGTGATAAGCCAGCACATGAGTTTTTCTTTCTTCCTTAACATTTTAATGGCACTGGGATGAGGGAGCAGCAGAGTAGCCTGGATTTCTGATGAAGACCATGACATTTCTGTGTCACTGCAGGGTGGAAATGCACTCCTGGTTCTCCCTCCCACTTGCAGAGGATGGAGTGTGATGATTAGATGGGAATATCCCTTTCAGCTGCGACTGTAAGGGCTGGGGTCAGAGGTGGCGTTACTCTGTTTGAAGCCAAAGGCAACACAAGGCACCATCCCCCGTTGTAGCAAAGTGTGCATCTTGTTTTCAGCTCCAATTAACTAATGTGCTCATTCCTTTCAATAAAGCGCTTCCCTGGCCTTGGCAAAAGGCTATTAATTTTGCTCAGCAGGTGTGAGGGCTGTTAGGACCACGAGCCTGGATGGCAGGGCGTCTGGAGCAGGTCCCTGCTCTTCCTCATTACAGATGGGTGGGGAGAGGCTGGACTGACCCATATGTGTGTGTGCAGCAGCCTTGGGGCCTGGTGAAGTTTGTGGGGCACAGGACAGCTCTGCCCAAGCCCTGGCTCCACCTGGGCCATTGGCTGCCACACATGCTGCTTTAAGCCCCTGCGCTTGGGGCTGACAGAGCTGTACCTCTCCACTGCCCGGCCTCGCTCGGGGGGTTGCTGGGCCAGGACGTGGCCAGGAGCCCTGGGGCAGCCCCACATAATCAAGTGTTTTTCCCCTCCTGCAGTGCATGTAGAGCCTGGCACATGTGAAGTCATTGCAGCTCACAGATGCTGCAATAAGAACAAGATTGAGGAGCGCTCCCAGACGGTGAAATGTTCCTGCTTCCCGGGGCAGGTGGCAGGGACAACGCGGGCAGCTCCCTCGTGCGTGGATGGTAAGTACCCAGCAGTTGCCGAGCCAAGTACCTACGCTCTCTCCTGACTGTATTTTATTGTTTTGTCAGGCTGGCGCAGTTTCCACAGACCTGGGATTAAGGGAGGAATCCTGCCCAGGGCCCTGGCTGGATTTCTCTGCATGGATAGGATGCAACTCTCCAACCTGGGCTCAAAGTGAGAGCTCCTGCGATGGAACAGAGGGGGAGAACAAGCATTTTGGGTCTCTCCTTTGGTGTAGCCACGTTATTCCACCCTGTGCAGCCCAGGGGTTACACCTGCACCGGCACATTATGACACTTCGGGGGTTCGAGCTCCTCCCTGGTGCTGCTGTGCTGGTGTTGCGTTGTTGCACTAGAGCTGGGCCTTGCAGCATCGATCTCTGCGCGCCCAGTTTGCCATGCTGGGGCAGCCGCAGGCCCAGACACAACTCCAACTGTGCAGCACCATCGCCTGTGAAGAGCGCTAAGCAAAACTCAAGCTATATATATTTTATTGAATGGCATCATATGGTGTCACAGTAGAGCCACCAGAAGCAGCTGGAAGCCTCTGCCAGTGCATTATTGATTTACTTGAGAGCCTATATCATGTGAATGCATTTGTGCACAACACCAAGAAATGACTGGATTAATTCTCAGGGAAGGTTTTCTTTGTCCTGAACAGCTTTTGTGTCGTCTTTCCCAAAGATAGAGAAGTCGCCTGTAATTATGCACATTGTAGGCATAAATTACAAGAGTCAAACATAGTTAAGTAGTAATAGACAGTCACTTTGCCTCTGTAAGTGGAGCCTGAAGTAGGCTAGTGAACAAAGCTGTTTTCCCTGCTGTTGTCAGGAATGAGGACAGGGCTGACGGCAGGCTTTTTACTTGGGATAGTGTGAGAAAACAGGGCACTTCAGAGGCAAGTGGAGAAATTGGGTCAAATTAGGTCATCTAGCTGACAAGCGGCTCCTCAGGTCCAAGGCAGTACTTAGGAGGGAGGCAGAGCCTGCCTGGAGCTGGGGAAAGGAGCAGAGATCCTTGTTTTCCACAGATCTGCAAAATGGGTGGCATTCCCACCTGCAGTGTCCGGGAGACAAAAAGGAGGCACCTCCTGCCACGATGCAGTGGAGGTGGCTCAGACGGCAAAGCCGCCGGCTCGCTGGACGTGCTGCGCATGGGGGCCAAGGGCTTCCCACAAGCCCCACCAGGCTCGTGGCTTTCCCAGCTCGGCTCCTCAGTCACAGGGTGGCTGTGACCGCCCCTGGTGCCCATACAGCCTGCGTTGTCCCACTGGGCCTGCCACCTCCCTGCCCGCAGGTGGTTTCGGCCGCTCATGATGCGTCCCTCCTCTCCTTCCAGCCTCCATCGTGCTCCAGAAGTGGTGGTGCCAGATGGAGCCCTGCCTCGAAGGCGAGGAGTGCAAGGTCCTGCCAGACCTCTCCGGCTGGAGCTGCAGTAGCGGCAACAAAGTGAAGACAACCAAGGTATTTCCACGTCTCCATCCCTTGCGGGCAGCTGTGCCATGGGGCGTGAGGAGCTGGGGCAGAGCTGGAGGGGCCGATGAGCACCGGGCTCAGGCTGACAAGCACGCTGGAAGAGCAGAGTGACACCTCGCTGCCCTTTCCCCAGCCTAGGACAATCAGACTTTTGCTTTGAAACCCAGGAACATGTCCCAGAGAGTTTGCAGGGAGGAAGAGGAGAGCTCTGGCTTCTCTGGGGCATATGCAATTTGCTACAGTTGTGCCAAACCCAGTGGAGGGGGCAGTCTGGGCGCCTATGCGCCGGCTGTGCAGGAAGGCGGGCCGGGCCAGGGAGGGAAGGAGCCCGCTCACGGTGGTGTGAGGATAGCACGAACACCGAGTCGGTCCCAGGGCTGGTGCCTGTCTGGGAGCTCTTGGCTCGCCTTCTCCCAGCTGCTCCCTGGAGCAGTGGGTTCCTCGTCCCAGCCTTTTGGCACAGCCCTGGATCCATCAAGGCTTTCTGGGATGTTACTGCTTCCCTGTCTGAAGCAATCATCTGTGACAGAGAGTTACATGATTATTATTTTCATGGCTTGCTGAATGCCCCAAAGAACAAGGTATAATTAAAATTTTATCAAACTCATTAGTAATTATATATATGTCATGGTTAATCAGTTGCATAATTTTGTAATCATTGTTCATACAGTTGAGTGTAATTATTCCGTATGCTTTAGCTTTTCTCACCCCTCATACCCTGCTGTAAAATTACCGTATTAGGAAAGTGATGTGGGGATTTTTTCATTATTGCTATTATTTTTGTGCACAAAAAGCACTTTCATGCTCAGATATTTTTATGGATGTTAGAAGAGGGTCCTCTGGCCAGGCATCCATCAGTGACCAGTAATTGCAGTGCTACTTTTAGCTTGTCCTCTTTTTCTCTTCTTTATATTGCTTAATTAATTCTTCCCCCGGTTGATAATGTGACTCAAAGGGTCTGGGGCTTTGCTGACCCTGGGTTCCTACTGGGACCATTCCAGTCTACAAGAGGCCAGGGCTTCTGCTCTCCTCGCTTTTCTAGTAGCCCTGATCTCCTTTATGGCAATCCTCTTAACATCCTTTTTTGGCTTGTTTACCCTTCTCTCCAGGGAGGCTGCGTCTTAGAAACCCAGATCCATGTTTTCAGAAAGACTGGTGACTTTTAACGCCCCGTTAAGCACTAAACCCCAAAGGGGGCTGGATTTCCAGAAAGTCTGAGGCACCTCTCAGTTGCTCTGTGCGAACAGAGCCCAAAAGGGAAGCTGTAGACAAAGCAAGGAGTTCACAAATAATCCATAAGCTGAAATTTGGAACAAGCATCTCATCAAACAAATGCAAAGAACAAATGATGTTTGCCTCTGCTGGGACTGTTCACTGATAGTTCACAAGTGGGAGAATCAGCTGGATATGTTAGATAGCTTTCCCACTGCAAACAGATTGACCATTTCCATTAGCAAAGAAGATACTAAACAGACTTCCTCTGGAAAATCATTTCAAACAACAAATAAACGAGAGGGAAGCATGATGTCTCCATGGGTAATCCATTAGTGGGAAAGGGCTTTCTGAAGAATTGTGTCACAAATTATTTGCTCGGTGGGGAAGGGTTAGGGTTAGGGCTGTCACAGAACTAGAACTAATCCATGCAAAACACATTGCCAACCTGGAGGGATTGAAAACCATGGCACAGAATCTTCTAAGTCATGAGATGTTAAGAAAATAACAGTAATGGGGAGGTCTATGTATCTCCTACCTGAGTCGTTTGTTTCTTTAGGTGTTTTCTAGATCATACTTTGCAACTTTTTACACCACCAAAAATATTGGAAAGACCTTTCTAGCAAAAGCTGAGATTGTTGCATAGGTGTAGGCGTTGAGCAGCAGAAACCCAAAGAACTCGTCCCAGGATTCATGACAAAACTGTAACAGGCAGCAGCCTGGAAACCTCCTGCTGCTCCATTGCATCAAGCTGCAAAGGGTGGAGAAGGTAGCAGGAGGGAGTAATGGGAGGCTGTGGAAAGGAAGGACTACAAGAGTGCAAAGGAGGATTGTGGTCTGTTTGACTGTGGCACGCACTGCCACTTCCTTATCATACCACTTGGTTTCTCTGTGCTTTTTCTAAACAAACTTTCCCTTTTTTTTCCATTTATCCTTTCCCTTTTGAATGCTGGGATGTAAATGTGGCAGTTCTGGCAGTACTCAGCACATGTCCCCGTCCTGGCTCGAAGCTGAGCCGTGTGGCAGAGCGTGATTCTGTCCTCCTATCCCCTTTTTAGTGCTCCCAGTTTGATCTTCACGCTGAGCTGTGTTGGATCTGCACTTGGCTCTGCCACATGTGCCTGATACGAGGAACGCTCAGAGGCCAGGCACAGAGGTTAAATAGCCTTGTTTCAAATGAATCTATAACTCCAAAGGCTGTCTTGACAGAAATCTCTGGCCCTACTATGAAATCCATGAGAAAGGACACTGTAATGGCTAAATAGGATATGAAAATCTGAAGAAAAATAAGTTTAAACTATTCATAGTCTGCAGCGCATGTGAAATGGAGGGCAAGCATGGCCCGGGATCAAAGTAGCCAGACAATTGCCAGGGCATCCTGTAGCCTGGTGTGATGAGTGTCATGCGAGAGAGCATCTGCATGCAGGGAGTGACCGCAAATGTACACAGCATCAGAGACAGCCCTGGGTCCCGTGCGCTCTCCAAGATGCTGTCAGGACCGCTCACTTCTGTAGCAACAACAGAAAACTTCCTGCTACGTCACTAAAGTGCAGTGCCGCCAGCCCCTCGTGATGTGGGTTTGCATTATTCTTGCGGTAGCATGGGTTTATTGTAAGACTTAGCTATTATAATTGTTAATATAACTTCATTCATTTACACTGATCTAACACTTAATCCAGATGTTGTGCTGGGTGATGGACAGAGCCAGAGCACAAAGCAGTTACAACAGGTATCGGAAACATTGGCAAATATGGAAGGAAACAGTGACTTAAATTGCTGTATCTTGCAAAACGCTGTCCAAAATACTGGATGTTGTAGAGGAAGCAGTTCAGGACATTGGCCAGAGGTGAGACACACCTTTCTCAGAGCTGTGTGGGCAATAACCGGAGCATGAAGGAAGCTCTAGCTCGCCCTAATAGCTGAACAGTGGCAAGCACCTGTCTGACTCTCCTCTCCTTTGCTCACAGGTCACACGATAGTTTCAGTGGTGCTCTGCTGTGGACTCAGCTGGTGAGCGTTGCCTTTTCGACAGCTGGGACATGGAGCGGTGCAACACAGCGCTGATCCCACAGGGAGAGGATCCTTTTGCGCTCCGCAGAGCCACAAGCAGCAGGACTTTCCTGGCGTGGACAGAGTACAGCTGGGCCAGAGGGCACTGCAGTCCCCCTGCGCTGCACCCCGTTGCCCTTGCTGTTGGGCATCTGGCAGTGCTCCGTGCCTGCTGTGCCAGAAAGCTGAGGCTTACAGAGGCCTGACGGTGTCCTGGGCCTGCGTTCCTGGGAACCCTTCTCATTGCTGTTCAGGCCATGCCAGGTACCGGTCCAGTGCTACCGCTGACATCCAGCTTCCCTTAAGGCTACAGTCATGGGTCCCGAATGCAGTTGCAAGACTCCTATCACTCCACAGCCCCCTTCCCCCTCATGGACACACTCACCATGGGCTCATTTTCCCATCCTGTTGAAAAGAATTCTCAAGTCATACAAGAGCTGTTGACAATTACAGAGAGAGAGAGAGAGGGACAACAGTCCCCCCAAACTGGCTTTATTCTTTCATTTAGGTAAAATAACTGCTGTGAGTCACCTTTCCTCCATCTCCAAGATATTGAATCAGTGTCACCATCAGGAAATTAGAACTCAATGATCGTATGAAGTCCTCCCTCCGTTTGGTTTGCTGTTTTTAACCCAGATGTGTTCCCAGGAAAAGTTTGCACGCTCTGGGCGCCTAAGGCCAGGAGGGCTCCACTGACATTGGTAGCACTATTTCCTCTCTGCCCCATAGTCTAGCCCATGTAACCACAACCCAGCCCCACATGTAGTGAAAGCGACAGTGCAGCCTGGGCTGTCTGACACCGCTCCAGACAGCGGAGATGGTATCATGTAGCCGTGGAGCATGCTGTTGGTTTTTCCTTCCTCGGTAATTGCATTAATCAGGCTGTTAGTTTAATATCTGTTCTCTACAATGCAAGTCCCAGGCACCAAATTACTGCTAATGTTTGCAATAGCATTTCAGAATAATGCGAGGGGGAACCCTTCTTCTTTCGATTTGGTTTGTCATGCCTAATGCAGCATAGACAGCCATCCAGAGACCCAGACAGACTGAGACAGGCTTTGTTGCATTAATACAAAATAAATAAAGAAGAATGTACCACGTCCCAGCAGTGAGCTCATGTCCTTTCCCAGGATGTACCGTTGCCCCTGATACTGCAGTTAGAGGGAGGTACAGCATGAACCCTGTCATCCCAAATTCCTCAAGGTGCCACCACTGCTGGAGCCCACCCCGGCCGGGGGAGCCAGCGAGTGCGGGTGGTCTTGCCGTTCTCCCCCCAGGCCTCTTTCGTTACCTGCACCGAGGGGGGCCGGTGGGAGATGGTGTAACAGGGCACTGTTGACTCGGGAGGGTGCCTGGACGAAGCCTTGGGAATGAAAACACCTGACGTGCAACAGGCCCCCAAGCGCCGAGTGCTCCCCAGGCATGAGCAGGGCCGGCGGCAGAGAGCAAAGCGACGCTTCAAAGGATGCAGGTGTGTTTTGCAGCAGGTGGCCTCTGCACTTCAACCGCGCGACCTGCAGGACTTGTTATTTAAATGTTTTTGTAATGGGGTACGTAATACCTGATTCAGATGTGATGTAAATATCAGACTGTGAAATATTAAATCCATTTTAATCTCTGCAGAAGATCTTGTCATTCAAAAATGAAGGAAGGCTTTAAGAACTTTTTTTCTTGCCGAGCAAATAAAAGGCAAAGAGTCTGGTTTGGGAGGGCTCCATCCTGGCCCAAAGGGCGAGTGGGGAGCCTACAGTTGCCGGTGCTGTGCCGGGGCTGAGGTTTGCACAGCACCACTTCTGCACTCCTTCTCTTTGCACCACAGCCTCTTGCTGGGGGTTGCAGAGCTCGTCACAGCCTCCATGTTCGGGTAGCGTGGTTCAGGGCTGGAAGGACACGTGGAGCTTGGCATCGCGGGGTGAGGGCGAGGGCCCCTTGACGCCGTTGTTTGCAGCGTCACCTGGATGGGGATTTCGCCAGGGTTTAATGCACGAGTGAGTCCCTGTGTAGTCCCCCATCTCTGCCCTCGTCCTGCAGGGTCGCTGGCAGACGCACGCCCTGCGGAGAGCTGGTGACAAGGAGGGGGCTCGCATGTGTCCTGCGCGGAGAGGTGCCGGCTGCGGCTGCCCCGCCGCTGGGACCTTCCTGGTGGGCAGGTAGCGCTGCTCTCCGCATCTGCAGGGCTGAACATGCTGCCAGCATGACCTGGCGGCGGCATTTTGAACCCCGCTGCTCCCTGGGGCCGAGACATCCCGGTCTGCGTCGGAGGGGTTTGTCCAGCATCGCTGCCTGCTCGCTGTCCCCCCTCTGCCCCCAGCGGTGCTCTGCACTGGGCACCCTGCAAGGGCTCTTTGGGGACGGGCGACATGTTCCCATCATGATCTGCTCTATTACATCTTCCCTTTAATATAGGAATTGTTGGTAGTTTTCATTTTTTATTTTTTACTGCATCTGTCATTCTGCAACTGGACTATTATTCCTGTAAAGGGCTACAGGATACATTTAACATGAAAGGGAGGTGACTACTGTGTTGCTGATAAGCTTCCTGACCTTTGTTTGCCTTGGAGCCCCCTGATGTATTCCCATTTCGCTGTAATGAATGCTGTTTTTCCAGTTCACGTCCTGTATGACTCTCTGGCTCTACAGTGCTCCCCAAGTTACACTGACTGTAGTGGAGGTTAGCACTGGCATTTTTCTTGGGTAAGAGACATGGCTGCTCTGAGGATGAGAAACACTTACAGCATTGTTAATGGCTGAAACACTTAAAATTGAATTTTAGTGTCATCAGACTAGGGACGTTTACACACCAGTACCCTAATGTATGGAATTACTTGGTTGGATTTTTCATCCTTTGTATCTCTGAAGTACACAGGATTTAGGGTTTCTTTTAATTCTTTCAGAGGGAGGTTAAGAGGGAAGAATGTATTTTGAATTGGTCTAGAGACTGTAATTCTGTGGAGGCTGATTTTCAAGCCATAAAGTATAGGAAAGATTTCTCAGGTCCACTGTTTGCATTTAGTATGTTTGTCCAGTAGAGATTTCTTCTCATGATAAATTCATTCCCTATTTTCCCCATGGTCTTGGGCTTGCAGCTGGGATCAGAAGAGGCAAAAGCTGAACAGCAGGGAAAACCTCCTGACAGCGAGGTCCGGTGTATTTGGCAACAGCCTTGCAGTCAAGGAGGAATGGCCATTGCTTGCACCATTTCAAGCTGGCTGGGAGCCCGGGAGCCTTGGGCCAAGCGTTGCTTTAGAGACCCAGCGCTCAGGTGGTGTCGGGCCCGTAGAGCCTCCACCAAGAGTTTGGTGGCTGCCCTGTGCCAGAAACATTACATCCTTCCTGAATCCTAACTAGCTCCTGCAACTGCAGCTATTCTCATTATTCATGCAACTGTCTAATTCTTTGGCTCAATAAAATCTTTTGGCTGTGACTTACACTGTCTAATTACATGTTGCATTAAAAAGGCATACTCTTTCATTTAGCCAAACCACAGCGGAGCAGTTTGGGCTATACACAACGGGCTGATTTTCTTCCCAGTTTCACTGATGTTGCCGCAGGGATGAGTTTGCCCGTTTCATTCCATTTCAGCATGCTGAGATTTGACCAAAGACAACCCTCTCCTTTCCTGGTTTGGTCAACAGGTAGCTGTGTATTAGTGTCACGGCTGCTGATTTGCTGCCAGCGCTGCAAGAATGTTTGTCCTGTTTATTGACCCTACATGGCATTCGTCTGCTGTGTTATCCAACAAAGGGCTTTTATATTTTGTCAAGTGTTTGGATACTTGTATTATTATTATTACTCATTGCATTTACTGGAATAGTTTGAGGAACAATGGACAAAGCCCTGCAAAACATTAGCCTGAGCTTCCAGGAATCGCTCCCGGGTGCTTGTGCATGCATGGGGGCAGTTTGAGGCTTTCCTGCTGTCAGGCCATGTGAATCCTCCTGCTTCCTGGTGCCCAGGAGCTGTCACACTGCAGGCCCCATCCTGGGCCAGGAAAGTTGGAAGAGCTTAAATGCCCCTTGAGACTGCTTTCCTCTATCGTAGCAGTGACACGAGCCTGGGCCACAAGGTATAGGAGAAGGGATGCGTGGCAGGACTGCAGGAGCCTCCCTCCCTGGGGAAGCAGGACTAAAAGGGACAAAAGGCGCAGGAAAACACCTTCAGCTTTCTGTGTCTCTCCAGATGCAGAGACATAGCTGGTGGGGCATCTTAAAAAGAAACAAATCCAGAATAATTGGCAAGATAGTCCTCAGCATTAAAAAAGCACTGGGTAGAAAATCAGAGCAAGCGTGCTTACAGTTAACAGAAACAAGCGGTACAATGATGTGTTTGTCCATGTGCACACAAAGAGAAGGTCAGCAGACATGGAGATGACATTTGAGCGCTCAGGTATTAGCGCACCAAGGGAGGGAAGCAGAACGTTTTCTGGCTCGTGGGGAGCGACGCGGTCATGCGTGGTGCAGAGCAGAGGGGTGCAGCCAGGGCGTAGGCCCAATACTCCACCTGCCCCCGCTCGGTAGAAATATGAATGATTAAGTGAACATTGCCTTCTACAGGTCCTGGGTGTAATTTCCCGCGGCTCCTGCCCCAGCGAGTGGCACAGCTGAGCAGAGCGCGCCTGCAGCTCCCGATGGCTGTGCCCGGGGCAGGAGCTCCTGGACCCCACAGCTGTTGTGCATCTCCTCCTGGGCGCCCCAGAGGAAAGAAAGAGAAAGGACCAGCATTTGCTGCTTGTGTGAGTCAGCTGCTGATGATTTTTGATTCTGCAATCCAGCTCTCTTCCATCTTGGCAGGGAGCGTGGGCTGTCACTTTGCTGAAGGCCCCATGGTATTTTACTGATTGCAAGCTGGCAGTTCAGCCAGCTCCTGATTTATTGCTGCTCAGAAAGGCTGATGCCCCTGCTCCTCATGGCATTGCCAGTGTGCTGAGTTATGACGTTTATCCTTCGTTGTTAGGAGGATGTGTTTTATTGCCCTGCAGACATACTCCGAAGAGGGCCATGTGTCCTGTTAGAGATGAGCAGCGGGACTCATCCCCCCGTGCTCACAGAGTGCTGGTCGCAAGCAGAAGGGCAGGCAGCACAGAGGGGCCCTTTTGCCCTGCACCCAGCTGGGACGCAGGGCAAGGAACGGGGTTGCCAGGCCAAAACAAACAGTTCATTTATTGGTTCTTTGTTTACAGCTTATTAGTTCTTTCTTTACAGCATGAATAATTTATCCAGATGCTCTCAGGGGACTTCTTAGAGGGGAAGAGCACAGGACGAGGAAGGCAGGGCTGCACTTTGGTGAATATACAAACACTTTTCCTTTGCCTCTGCGCAGCTGAAAGAAACCGGTCTTGTGGAGCCACAGATGCCTTAGGAGTCGTGCCTCTGACCCATGCTATTTGTATGAAAAAATTGCTGCTTCCCCCTTGGTGAGGAAGAGCTGGGACCCTGCAGGGTGCCCCCTTACCTGCAGATCCCCACCCCATCCTGAGGATCCAGCAGCTCCTGGGGAGAGGAGCAGGCGGCACCAGACATGTTGTGCACATGAACACGAGTTCAGAGGTGCCCGTGCACACTGGGCATGGGAACATGACTTCAGAGACACTCACCATGCATGCAAGCACAGGTTCAGAGGCACCTGTAGGCTGAGGAGCAAGCAGGCTGTGACAGTGTCCTCCTGCCTGGGGCTGGGAAGGGTTAAGAGGTGTGGTGCAAAGGCAGCTGGGGGCAATAGGCAATCTGGCCCCAAGCTGACTTAAATGACAGAGGCAGGGGGCAGCAGGTGCTGATGGGAGATGAATGCTGCAAGGAAGGAGATGGTCTCAGCTTTTTCAGTGCAATTATTTCATGGATCAAGCTAGATGAAGGTAGGCTGCGACTGCTGGGCTGGGTGCAGGAGGGGGAGGCTTGCCTCTCCTGCGAGCAGCACGTCGGGGCTGCCTGGGCAGTTGGTGTTTTGGCAGTGGGTTGCTTCTGCTCTTGGGGCTGGGATGGGTTGAGCTCTGAGCAAGCCCTGTGGTCCCTGGCTCCAGGGGGTGTTTGGGGAGCTCCAGCTCCTGCTCCTCTCTGGTGTCCCAGTAGCTGGGCTGTCTCACAGCCCTTTTGCATGCTGCTCCCCTGGGTTAGGGAGGACAACAGCTCACTGCATCCTACAGCTGCTTGTGTGTCCCTTCTGGCTCTTGCTGTGTTGAGGCTTGGTGCTGTTAGCTGGAAAATGAGCCTGTACAGCCCTTCTTGCACTGTCCTCGCCCTCTGTGGGGGATGAAGGGCTCCTTTCTAGTCTGCTCCTTGCTCTGCCCTTCAAAGCTACTGGTAGAGCCAGAAGTTTTAATCGGTTTTCTGAATTGGTGTTGTGTGAGTGTGGAGCATGCCCTCGGCCTCGCTCCTGCATCTCCCTGGTGTCGCTGGTCTCTGCGTGCTTGCTGCCATCGAGGCTTTCGGAGCTGGTCTGAGCACGTGTGAGCTCTGCCCTGAGGAATTTAACCTGAGATGCCAGAAACGTGCCAGCCCGGAGCGGGTCTGGGAAGCAGGCGCAAGATGAGGAAGGCTTGTTGGGGCTGCAGAGCCCCCCTCCAGGCTGCCCCTTTTTAATGCTTCTTTTCCCTCCAATGTTGAATGCGTTTTTCCCAGTAAA